ATTTTCCGATCCATGATGCAAGTTGGCTTCAAACTATGGAATGGATTTCCTGAACGGCAGCGTGTCTCATGAACCCAGAGTAATAAGACCCGCCTCACAATCAGGAAATCCATTTCATAGTTTGCAGCCAGGTACAACGTGAGGGCTGAGTTAGCAGCACTGTGGCTAACGGCTAACAAACTTTTCATCTAAACATGTCTACTGTGTTGAAGTATTTTACATAAAAACACCACAAAGCAAGACAGCAACGTGCAATGTCTGCAGAGCCATAGCGCCACATTAAACCACGGTAAAGTTAGTTTTACGATGGACATTCGAGCTCCGTGGCTTCAGCAGGGCGCTGCTCTTTGCTCAACTCACAACAGGCAACTCGACCCAGGCCAGCCGCGTCCAATCTGCCCCGCTCAATCTGCCCGTCTCTGAGGGGGGACAGACTGAGCGCGTCTGCCCCAAATCAGGCTGCCTGCTTCGGACTGAGCAAGAAGAAGACATCGCTGAAACCATGGAGCTCAAATGTTGACAGAGAAGTTGCTAAACTTCATCATAATTAATGACCAACCACTATCAGTTGTAGAAAACGAAGGATTTCACAGCTTGATACTTGCAGCCAAGATATAGTTTACCCTCCAGGAGATATTTATCAGTACAACAGTAGACAATCATAAAAAACATATGATTTGAAAATTATATTAAAAACAAAAACAGCTACATTATAAAGTGATGTAAAATGCTAAAAACAGGAACATGCCTGTTGGTTTATGCCAGGTGTTTGAAGCCGTTTAATATTTTATTTTATTTTATTCATTTATTCATTCATTTAAAAAAAACAACATTTTTAAAAAATCATCAAAAAGAAAACATAGAATGAAAAGAGTGCAGAAAGAAGAAAAATAATTCTTATATCTGCCCCTTATTTAAAAAAATATATAAAATAACTTTAAACAATCACTTAAAATTAATCACTTTAATATCCACTTTAAAGCTAGGAATAAAAAGAAACATGTTATGTGTTAGCAGAATTTAATTCTAACTTTAAAACTTATCCAACGTTAATAAAACTTAACTCAAGTTGCCTTTTTGGACATGCATGCATAGATTTGTACAAATTGTACTTGAAAGGAGATTATTACAGCCTCGTATAAAATCAATGATGATCATGATATCGGAACTGGATCGGTATTGGCCGATACTCAGTTCTAGGTATCGGGATCGGATCGGAAGTAAAAAAAAGTGGATCGGTGCATCCCTACAAACAGGGTGCCCACTCACACCTGATCATCCCATTGAATGAAAACACCTGACTCTAATTTCACCTTCAAATTAACTGCTAATCCTAGAGGTTCACATACTTTTACCACTCACAAATGTGTAATTTTGGATCATTTTCATCAATAAATAAATGAACAAGTATAATATTTTAATCTTGTTTGTTTAACTGGGTTCTCTTTATCTACTTTTAGGAATTGTGTGAAGATCTGATGATGTTTTAGGTCATAGTTATGCAGAAATATAGAAAATTATAAAGAGTTCAAAAAGTTTTGAGCATCACTGTACATAGACATCATCCCTTTTACAGTATATTGCACAATATATTGCAATTTCATCATCATCACCATATCAGTAAGGAAAATATCAATATAGCAAAGGACTTGGGCTACAAAAAAATATCATAGTCCGTTATATTTCAAGTACCATGCATTTGTGTTCTGCTGAAGAATGTATTTTGTCAATCCAGTTGGTCGTTTAGTCTCAGTTTATGCTGGCATTTAGCAAAAACAATTTTGAGCAGCGAGCAGGTAAACATTTGTTTGATTTAAAATTTGACTTTATAAAAGAAAAAAATAAACACTTGCTTTCAGCTGTATTCTAATGTAAATGTTTATCAGCTCTGTTTACAGACATGGAGGGAGGGGAGAGTTTGAAAAATTATTCTTTGAAACAGTATTTACCAATTTAGATTTTGGGTGACCATTAAAGAATTACAGTTCAGATTTTAATGTAAAAGCTAATAAAACATTGTATGAATTTACTTGAGTTTATATATGTATACTCTTAATTTCTATTAAAGGCCACTAGGAAGCACAAGCCAGTGTATCTCGTATCAGTCCCGAGCCTGGGCAAATTGTGAAGGTTTTGTCAGGAAGGGCATCTGACGTAAAACACTTTTGCCAAAACTACTATGCGAGTTCATCTAAATGACACCATTCCGAGTTAGGGCTGGGCAATATATCAATATTTTAAAATATCGAGATTATTTGAAACGAGATATAAAATGAGACTATATCGATATAAAATGATATAGTTTTATACTCTGCATAAAGTTATAAATCCAGCAGTTTTTCTCCCAGTCTGACTGCAGGCTGCAGCCTTTCACACCACTCCTCCTCTTCCCTCCCTCACTGACAAACCCGCTCCACTCCCGGCTGCTTGCTTTAGCTGTTGACTGACAGTGGGAGAACCACTTTAAATCCCTGATAAGGTGTGAAAAATGACAGTGCTGCTTCAACAAAGCTGCAAGGCTCCGTCTTGTGTCGGGAGAGGAAAAATCTCTGACTGACACGCAGCTTGAAACTTTGTTTACACAGAAGGTGCATTCAAAGAGCATTGGAACTTTTAAATTCAGAAAGAAAGGAGCCGTAATCAAACAGAACCAAGCTCAGTAAACAAGCCAACTACACAACAATGTGGGCTTACAGTTTTGTTATTAAAGGTTATTAATATGGGGGAGTGGTGGCGCAGAGGTTAGAGAAGGTGGGCCTGTAATCGGAAGATCGCCGGTTCAAGCCCCGGTACCAAGAACATCAAAAATGTGGGTGGGGTAGGTGAAGCACCCCCACCTGCCCCCACCCTCATTCGCCCCACTCTGGGCCCATGAGCAAGGCCCTTAACCCCCATCTGCTCCCTAAACAGGTCTCTCTTGAAAATGAGTTCTCATGGCTCAATGAGACTAACCTGTTTAAATACAGGTTAAATGAAAAAAAATTTAAGGTTGAATGAATATACTTCATTAGAATCAGACTTTTTAAAGAGCAAGTCGCCTGTCATTGTTTGCTCTGAATATGTTGTGTTTAAATTTTAAGTGATTCAGCTCTGTTTTTGGTTTTGTTATGCAGGAAAAAAAACATTTTTTTGGAGACATTTATTTTGTACAGTTACAGCTTTAAGCTGTGTGACAACTGGGGCAAAGCTTTGACTCAGAATATATATTTGTTACTACTTTATGGAGAGAAAAATATATTGAGATATATATTGTATATCGCCATTTATCTTAAAATATTGAGATATTAATTTTGGTCCATATCGCCCAGCCCTATTTCGGATCAGTCGAGGCCCGGGTTAACAACGACCGCCACCGGTGCTGTTGACAAACAGGGTGCCGGAAGAAACTGTGCTACTGTTATTTGAAGACCACGAAGAGAGAAACGTGTCAGGAGACAGAGGGAGAAGAGGAAAGTCAAGAATGTAGGACTGAGGGTTGCAACACTAAATGTGGGGACAATGACATGCAAAGGTAGAGAGCTGGCTGACATGATGCAGAGAAGGAAGGTAGATGTTTTATGTGTCCAAGAGACCAAGTGGAAGGGCAGCAAGGCTCACAGCACTGGAGCAGGATTTAAACTGTTTTGCCATGGTGTGGAAAGAAAGAATAATGCAGTAGGGGTGGTCCTGAAGGAGGAGTTGGCAAAGAATGTAATAGAGGTGAAAATAGTGTCAGATAGGGTGATGTGCCTGAAGGTAGACGTAGATGATCTTATGCTAAATGTTGTCTGTGGTTATACTCCACGTGTTGGATGTGATGTGGTGGAGAAAGATGCATTTTGGAAAGATCTGGATGAAGTGATAGAGAGTATTCCCAGGGAGGAGAGAGTGGTGATCGGAGCAGACCTGAATGGACATGTTGGTGAAGGAAACGGAGGGGATGAGGAAGTGATGGGTAGGTTTGGTGTCCAGGAAAGAAACCAGGAAGGATAGATGGTGGTGGATTTTGCCAAGAGAATGGAAATTGCTGTAGTCGACACTTATTTCCAAAAGAGGGAGGAACATAGAGTGACCTATAAGAGTGGAGGAAGGAGTACACAGGTCAACTATATTCTATGTAGAAGAGGAAACCTGATGGAGATTGGGGACTGTAAAGTTGTGGCAGGGGAGAGTGTGGCCATACAACATTGGATGGTTGTGTGTAGAATGACTGTTATGAAGAAGATAAAAATTGTCAAATAAGACAATTAAAAAAATAAGCATAAAATACTAAATATATTTAGTATAAAAGTATAAATAAGTATAATAAGTATAAAATACAAAATAAGAGGTACAGCACAGGTTGAACAACTGGGAGATAAAGTTAGAGAGGCCAGACTGAGATGGTTTGGACATGTCCAGAGGAGGGACAGTGGGTATATTGGTAGAAGGATGTTAGAAATGCAGCTGCCAGGAAAAAGACAAAGAGGAGACATATGGATGCAGTTAGAGAGGACATGGAGGTAGTTGGAGTGAGGACAGAGGATGCAGAGGACAGAGTGAGATGGAGGAGGATGACTCGCTGTGGAGGCCCCTGAAGAGGGAAAAGCCAAAAGAAACAGAATAATATTTTGAAATTATTCAAAATCTATTGTAAATGAATAATTTAAGTGTAATAAAACATTTTCAATCACATTTAAATCAGTGTAAAATAGAACATATTGGATTTGGTACCTGGATGATTGAGCATGAACTTTGATGTAAAATCGAACGGTTTTCACTCCCAGGCGTTCTGTTAAACAAGACTTAAACATTTTTATTACAAAGTACTTTTAACTTGTTTCTATTTTACCTGCACTGTAACTTCCTGTTTGCTGATTTAACCTCGTGTTGTATGTCAGCTCTCAGAGACAACACCTGTTTTGATTTGCTGGACTGGAATGAGCCTGAGTTGTCTGAAGCTAGAAAGTTTGGGCAAACCTTGTGGTGTTGCTTATCCTGTTTCACCAGGTTTTACTTTTTCTTGCTCTTATCCTGTTAAGAGGCCATGTCAGCAGGTGATAGCCATGAAGAGGGCCGGCTGGTCTATCGTTATGGCGGTGAGCCTGTAGGAGCCTTTGTTCAGCCCAGCCTGCGCCCTTTGATGCCCACCATCGCTCATGCTATGTTCCTTGATGTGACCCATGACAACGAGTGCCCTATCCAGGTGTGGATAGGAAAATGTTTAGATTTTAAATGAGGTTTTGTTTGATCATTTCTGGACCAAAACAGATTTGATCTCGTAACTGCTTTTTTGTCTGACTTTTATTTTCTAGCTGCGCTCAGCACTCGACTCTCTGCCCAGTTCTGCTATTGTCTCCATGGCCTGTTGTGCTACTGGTTCCACCAGAGGATATGATGAGCTGGTTCCACATCAGGTTACTTTAAATCACACATTCGTCTTGTCTGAATTTATTTATTTTTTCCACACACAGTCTACTATTGACACATCTTTGACAAATCTATACACATCTTTTTGTCCTGTCTTGTATCCTTTTGTATTAAAAATAAAAACAAAACTAGATATGGCAGTGTTCTTACAAAAAATGAGCAGAACAAGTCTCAACAAGGCTGTACAATATTAGTAAAACATGCACTTGTGATTAGTGTTGAGTTATTGATGTTGCACACTATTGATAATGCACACGCTGATATTATATCTAGTATGCAGCCCTGGTCATCACACCATCATTCCATGTAAAAACTTCATAAATTTGACAGTTTGCTGAATGTAACTTTCAGAGTCCATATGTATTTTATGCTTTGTTCAGTTGTTAAAAAACTAAGACCTCAAACGGTTGTAATAGAGGTCCAAGACCCTTGATTAAGGTGACCCTTAAATCTCCAAGTACCTCCCAAACCACAAGCTTGTAGGTTGATGAGGCCTAAAATACAAATGAGGCAATAAAGTGTCTGTGACATCAAAGTTTCACAGTAAATATGAATGCATTTTTGGAAAGATAATATTAATAACATTGCAAAACATAAAAATCACATTGAAATAAACATTTAACATACTAAATGGCGTATTAACAGGAAGAGATGACAAAGGGGACTGCCTGCATGTAGACGGAGCGTTGCTACAATGGCTGACAACACAGACAGAAGACAAGAATCTGATGTTTCTTTAGATTATTTTGAATCACTATCAGAGAGAGATGAAGAGTCAGAGTTCAATTAATATTGTTTCAATAAACAAAGACCAGGAAGAGCCTCTTTGATGTCTCTTCTTATTTCATTTTGGCAGTGCCTAATTCTAAATAAATACTAGTTATGTGACAAAATAGGTAATATTATGTATATTATGCGGATTGCGGTTTTGAGTAATGAACAAGGCTGGGAGTTTTTAAAAGCCTTAGGAATCTTTTGCAGGTGTTTAGAGTTACGTCGTTGATTCAGATGGTTAGGTTAATAATCAATCAACCTTTATTTAGACAGGTAAATCCCATTGAGCCTCGAGGACTCATTTACAAGTGAGACCTGAATAATAGCTTGTTTAGAAAACCTTTTCATGATATGCTAATTTTTCGGGACAGGCATTTTGGGTTTTCATGAGCTGTATGCCATAATCATCAGTATTAAAACAATTAAAGACCTGAAATATTTCAGTTGGTGTGCAATGAATCTGAAATATATGAAAGTGTCATTTTTATCATTACATTATGGAAAATAATGACCTTTGTCACAATATACTAATTTTTTGAGAAGGACCTGTATATGAAACCTGTTTCAAGTTCAAGTCATGAATATGAGCTAAATCTACAGTGTTTGGTAAATAACTAAAGTGTCATAAGAAAAGTAGATATTTTTAATACATCTTTATTGTCAACATTTATACTTAAATGATACATCAATGGAAGTTAACAGCCTCTTTCATCTTTATGGCACACATTAGTCACTCCAGAGCTTGATGTAAACAGACTGTAGGTCTACTACCATTTTTTTGCTGGAGAATCATCTGAAACATGCACACAGCATGTATTACTAAACCATATTTAATTGACATTTTACCGGTTCATACTGGTATAGCAAATTAGCATTAGCTTACCATCACTCGTTCTCTAATCATGTTTTCCAACAGTCTCGTTCTTCTCCAGAGCATTATGGTTGGTTGCCCACAGACTTTTTCTGGTTCTCTTCTCTTTGATATTTGACAAAAAGTCACAGACTGAGCATAATGTTCAATAAAGCAATGAGATCCTCCATTTTGGTTGTGTATCTTTTCAGGGTCTTTTTCTTCTAATATGTTTATTGGTGGCTAGTAAATAGCTTAAGGGAGCACTACTGCCACCAGGTGGTAAGGCGAGTTGGATTCTGGGCACGCCTCCAGAACCAGTCCTGAAAGTGTGGTGGAAATGCAATGTGTAACAAGCTGATCTGAGCCGAGCCGAGTCGGGCTGAAGAGGAGCGGTGGAAAAGGGGCATTACATTCCATGTCCCAAGAGCCAGGTTTGGTAAGCCATGGTCAGAGCGCCAAGGCCCCCGCCTTTGGCCACTGCCCATGGCATCATGCCTCCAACTTGTATGGCCCCTCCTGTAAGTGGTGGGCCCACAAGAAGCAAACCCAAGTTGCTCTTTTGGGCTGATCCTACCTGGACCCCATGGGTAGGGACCTGGTCACCAGGTGCTCGCTGACAAGACCATACCACAGGCCTGGCTCCAGGGTGGAGCCCCGGTAACCCACATTCAGGCAAGGGACACCGAGCTCCTTGTTTTTATTTGTCCACCTAAGTCTTTGGTGTTGGACACCTACAGTATGTGATAAATTATCTTTGCTTTGTTTTACTTTAAAATTAGGCTATGTCAATTTGATGCAGTTTTTTATATGCTGTATTTATAAATCATCAATTCACAACAGAAGTCACCTCAGGGCACTGTCCAGAAAGTACAAGATCCAAATCATGCAGTGTAAAACAACCAGATTCTAGTAGAGTAACACACAACTAGTTGAGTTCTTCATAACCTGTCACAATTAGATTGTCAATTGTAAAACTACAGTAAGGGGGTTTCAAAGTGTGGGAGAGCTAGCCCACCTTAGAGTGGAAATAAACAACTGACTTAAACTACAAACCGGATTCCAAAAAAGTTGGGACACTAAACAAGTTGTGGATAAAGACTGAATGCAATGATGTGGAGATGGCAAATGTCAATATTTTATTCGTAATATAACATAGATGACAGATCAAAAGTTTAATCTGAGTAAATGTAACAATTTAAAGGAAAAATATGTTGATTCATAATTTCACAGTGTCAACAAATCTCCAAAAAAGTTGGGACAAGTAGCAATGTGGCTGGAAAAAGGAAAATGTGCATATAACGAACAGCTGGAAGACCAATTAACACTAATTAGGTCAATTGACAACATGATTGGGTACAAAAAGAGCTTCTCAGAGTGTCAGTGTCTCTCAAAAGCCAAGATGGTAAGAGGATTACCAATTCCACCATTGTTGCGCAGAAAGATTGTGCAACAATACCAGAATGGTGTTACCCAGTGTAAAATAGCAAAGACTTTTAAGTTATCATCATCAACCGTGCATAACATCATCAAAAGATTCAGAGAATCTGGAACAATCACTATATGTAAGGGTCAAGGCCGTAAAACTCTACTGGATGCTCGTGATCTCCGGCCCCTTAAACGTCACTGCACCTCAAACAGGAATGTGACTGTCAAGGAAATAACAGAATTGGCTCATGAATACTTCCAGAAAGCATTGTCAGTGAACACAGTCCACCATGCCATCCGCCGTTGCCAGCTGAAACTCTACAGTGCAAAGAGGAAGCCATTTCTAAGCAAGCTTCACAAGCTCAGACGTTTGCACTGGGCCAGGGGTCATTTAAAATGGAGTGTGACAAAATGGAAGACTGTTCTGTGGTCAGATGAGTCACGATTTGAAGTTCTTTATGGAACACTGGGATGCCATGTCATCCGGACCAGAGAGGACAAGGATAGCCCAAGTTGTTATCAACGCTCCGTTCAGAAGCCTGCATCACTGATGGTATGGGGTTGCATGAGCGCTTGTGGCATGGGCAGCTTGCATGTCTGGAAAGGCACCATTAATGCAGAGATCTATGTTCAGGTTCTAGAACTATATATGCTCCCATCTAGACGTCATCTCTTTCAGGGAAGACCCTGCATTTTTCAACACGATAATGCCAGACCACCTTCTGCAGCAATCACAACATCATGGCTACGTAGGAGAAGGATCCGGGTACTGAAATGGCCAGCCTGCAGTCCAGATCTTTCACCTATAAAGAACATTTGGCGCATCATAAAGAGGAAGGTGCGACAAAGAAGGCCCAAGACGATTGAACAGTTAGAGGCCTGTATTAGACATGAATGGGAGAGCATTCCTATTTCTAAACTTGAGAAACTGGTCTCCTCTGTCCCCAGACGTCTGTTGAGTGTTGTAAGAAGAAGGGGGGTGCCACACAGTGGTAAAAATGGACTTGTCCCAACTTTTTTGGGATTTATTGACACCATGAAATTTGGAAACAACAGATTTTTCCCTTAAAATTATACATTCTCTCAGTTTAACCTTTTGATCTGTAATCTATATTATATTATGAATAAAATATTGACATTTGCCATCTCCACATCATTGCATTCAGTTTTTGTTCACAATTTGTTTAGTGTCCCAACTTTTTTGGAATCCGGTTTGTAGAACTAAACAACTTCAGAATTATCAAAGGTCATGCTCAATAATCCAGGTATAAAACCCTACAAAGTTCAGCCAGATCTTCAGAATCACACATGCTGACATGTGTAGCATTTATATTTATTTAAACACAACATGCTGCATGTGACATCATGTTGTCTTCTGTGCATGAGGGCCGCCTCAGAAATGTTAATGGGTCACACTGGAGTCTGATTGAATTAACATTTGACACACCACATAAGAAAATAAATCTAATCTGAACAAATACAATTGAGTATTCAAGACATGCACTGTGAAAATAGCCTTACTTTTCTGCTATTTTTATTTATATTTTATTTTTCCTTCATGTTGAAACCCCCCACCCCCAAGGAAAAAACTCTGCACCCCTCCCCCCCAGGGGAGGCAGGCCCCACACATTGAAAAGACTGGATCTACAGAAATTAGCAAACATCAAAATCAGAATAAACTTTATTGGCATGGCACCGAGATACAACACGAATATGTACGTACAGTCGTCCGAAGATGAGCGGAGTGCACAAAGCTGCGGCTAAAATAATCAGCGCGGCCTTCTTATTCTTATTCAGAATAATATTTTGCTTAGATAAGAAAAGGAAAGAAAACATGAGGAGAGACGGTATAAAAAAAAAGATCTCTCACACCATGTCCTAGACAGGGCACAATTTGAAGCATCAAAAAATCCTACCACAGCAAAGCAACATAAACAGACGTTATACATTTACATATAGGCGGTGAAAACATTGAATTTTTAAGGGAAAGTCATAGCATAGTCCAGAGCCCCCCCCCTCAGCCATTGTCCAGATAAGAGGTGACGTTCATCTTCAGCTCAGTTGAGGTTCTGTTACATGTCCACGGCCTTGGGGAAGGGAGGAGTGAGGAAACAGTCAAAGCATCTTTGTTGTTTTCAAAACATTCCAGGAGGAGTTGAGATAAGTCCAGCATCAAGGCCACAGTTTGGATCAGGCAGAACTCGTGAATTGTTGTTTCTGCCTTTAAAGTCTCGCTGGTACATATTCTCTGATGGAAACTCCAAAACAGCCGAATTGATCCTTCACTCCAAAGGTCGAGCTCACAGCTTTCTCCAAGATTATTCCCACCATTCATGAGTGCTGCCAGGGAGATCACAGTCCTGATACAGCTGCTCCAAATCCCTGTCACAGCTCCACATTCAGTCCGAGCACTGTCAAGCTTCAACACCTCCACACGAATTTGTAGACAACCAGATTCCACCAACCCAAACAGTAGATTCTAGTCGTCATCATGAATCCAATTTTTCCTCTAGAGTTCAGTGTCCTCCTTACCCTGACTCCTGTCGGGAGAAGTTGGAGACAGTTGGAAGGAAACACTCCCTTTCAACAAAAATAAACTTCCAACAGAACCAGAACTAGGATGATTGACCTGCTGTAGACTTGACGTACCCTTTACCTACTCAGCTTGTGTTTGTTTGTGTGAGGGCAGATATCTGTGGTGAAGGAGGAACGATTTTACCCCAAGTGGAATCCCTCAGCAGCCCCCACCACCCCTGGGGAAGTTGGATTTCAGAACGGCATCATTGCTGGCAAACTGGCACTTAACAAACTGCACCAGGAGTTGGCAACTCAGGGATTCATCCAGGTACACAACAATACTATAAAGATTACACAAAATGTTAACAGTCACTGCAGACACTTTCATGTTATATTTCTGCTATGTGATTATGAAGTCAAATCTAATACAAATATCTGAAGCTCTGATCGTTCAGACCCGTTTTGAGTTAAACTTCACACTTTTGTCTCAATTTTCAGGTGTATGTTGACCAGGTTGATGCAGATATAGTTGCAATTACTCGTCATTGTCCCAGCACACACCAGTCTGTGGTAACAGTGAGCCGGACGGCCTTCAAGGATCCCAAAACCCACCAGTATGACACCAAGGTTCCATCTATTTTCATACCTGGTAAGATTAAAAAGTCTCTGTTAGTCAGGTAAAGTCAACTTTATTTATAGGGCACATTTAAAACAGTGTCTATTACCCAAGTGCTTAACAATAACGTCAATGAGAGTAAATTAATGGAAAAAATAAAACTATGAATATACTGAAAATTTAATTGATAGCATTAAATAAAAAACATAACACAACAAAAAATACTAAATCAACTCTCACTGTGTGAAATACCAGAGCAAACAGATGTTTTTAACAGAGATTTGAATGCAGGAAGGGAGGAGGCCTGCCTAATGATGGGGGGGCGGGCAGGTTGTTCCAGAGTTTGGGGCCCATGACTGAAAATACCCGATCACCTCTGAGCTTCAGTTTTGTTTTTGGAACGGCCAAAAGCAACTGATTGGATGATCTCAGGGCCTGAGCTGGAACATATGGTTCCAGTGGCTCAGAGCGAAAGGGGGTGCAAGGCCATTTATGCACTTATAGGTCAACAAGAGAATTTTTAAATCTTTTCTAGTACGCACAGGAAGCCAGTGAATGGAGGACAGAACTGGTGTAATATGCTCAAACAGTGTTTCCCCTACCATTATACAAGCGGGACGCCTCGCCCCATCAACAGAACCGAGCGCCCCGTCTACCGAACCCCACCCCCCACCCCCAACCACCTGTCTGCACTGACGTAACGCTAAACTAGCAGCTCTCAATGCAGGTGCACTAGCTAAAAAGCTAAAGGCAGCCTCTTCCTTCATGCTGAAGCTAAAAAGCTAAAGGCAGCCTCTTCCTTCATGCTGAACCCCTCACGCTGAACGCACCCCCGCCACTCGAAAACTGTTGGTACAAACAGCGCACGGCTCAGATGTGCGTCTGTTTCTCCCCCCCCCGGCCATCAAAAAAAAAAAAACAACTGTCAAGTCAAGTCAGATGTATTTATAGAGCACATTTAAAACAGAAACTGTTACCAAAGTGCTTAACAAAAATATCACATCATCAAATAAAAAGTAGCAAGATATATTTACAGCACATGGAATAAAAATATAAAACCGAAAACATAATTAGAAACAATGAAATACTAAATCAGATCACGTTGTGTCAAAAGTCAAGGAAATAATAACAAAAAGCATAAACTCAGTCAGAAACAATGAAATACTAAATCAGATCTGATGGCCTTGAATAGGAATAATAACAAAAGCATAAACAGAATCAGCATCAATGAAAAACTAAATCTAAATCCAATCATCCTGTGTTAAATGTCAATGAGTATAGATGTGTTTTTAGGAGAGATTTAAAAGCAGAGACTGAGGTGGCCTGTCGAATGTTGATGGGCAGATTATTCCAAAGTTTAGGGCCCACGACTGAAAACGCTCGATCTGTCGATGGCGTCTGTCGGTTCAGACAGCGCGCGGCTGAGTTGTGTGTCTGTCTCCTCTCACACATCCTGGTCTAAAACTGTAAAACTGTCAATGCAAATGGCACGTGGCTGCCTCTGTCCCCCCCCCAAAACTGTTGGTTTAAACAGCGCGCTGCACAGCTTAGGACGAGTCTCCATCCCCCCTCCCCACACAGACAAAAATCACAGACGAGATGAGCGCCCCGACATGGCAAGTTATCTAGGGGAAACACTGGCTCAAACCTACGAGTACCGGTTAAGAGTTGAGAAGCAGCATTCTGGACGAGTTGGAAATGTGAAGTGGAGACTTGACTGACCCCAGCATAGAGTCCATTACAGTTGTCCAATCGGGCTGAGATAAAGGCATGGACTAGTTTCTCAAGGTCAGATATGGACAACACTGACATAAGGTTAGGCATAAGCTGCCTTAATTGGAAGAAGCTTTTCTGCTGAACAGATTATTTGTTTGTCAAATTTCAAGTCAGTCTAAAACCATCCTGAGATTTATAAGAATGTTAGACATTATACATGTATTTAGGGATCTTCATCAAATTTAATGTTTTGTTCAAATATCTCACGTGGTTTGTAAGAAAGAGGTCATTAGGTCTCTTTCCCCAAATCAAAATCAACCAGCAATATTATTATATGCCTGTTGATGCCGGACGTATTAGTCAAGTTGTCAAATTTATTTGTGTAACACATTTAAAACAGGAACTGTTACCAAAGTGCATTAAGAAAAGACATACATGGGGAGACAAGGCTGCAGCCACTTGACTGGTGCCACCTTTTTAGATAAGGAAAATGACAATATGAGGAAAGGGGAGATCAGAAATGACCTCAGCACAAAAAGCAACATAAATAGGCATCAAACATATAATATATATGCCAGTGGAGACACTGAGTTTGGGGGAAGGTCATAGCACAGCACAGTCCAGAGCTGCTACCCTCCTGCCATAGTCCTGATAAATGTTTATCAGCCAGCTCGGTTGAGCTCTGTCACAGGTCCACGACCTTGGGGACGGGAGGGGATGGGGAGGGGGACAGAGCGTCTTTGTTTCCATAGCATCCAAGGAGGAGTTGAAATAGTCCTTCTTCCAAGGCCAGGTCCAGATTCAGATATCAACATTGTTTTGGGTCATGCCGAACTCATAAATTTCTGTGTCTGCCTTACAGTCTCGCTAGTGCATTCTCTCATGGCGACTCCAAACAGCCGAATTTGATTACTTATGCCGAAGTCAAACTTACAACTTCTCCAAAATTTGTTCCTTCCAAACATTTGTGGACACTGCCAGAAAGTTCCAGAGTCCTGATAAGGAGCAGCCTGCTCAGCTTTTATACAACACCACATATAGTTCACGTAGAGTCTGAGTGCTGCCAAGCTCGGCACATTCTCCTCACATTCCAGGCATCTTAAACAGCTGCTGATGTTACTGAAATTGTCAACAATCCAGATTTCCACTAGCCCCAAACAGCAGAATCCATTTATCATAGATACAATAATGTTTCCGTTGAGGTAAAAGGATTTTCCTTCACCGTGACTACCTGATGAGAAATTTATTTGAGACCAGCTGAAAGAATCCATCGTTAACAATTTAGAAGGTATGCAAAAATAGAGGCTCTGTAAGAGGTTCACAAGACAAAAGAGCAAAGCACGGAGGTAGCAGAGGAGGATGCGTTTCTGCCTTCCACAAAGAGCAAGTATGTAGTCTCCATTAATCTGTCCGTAAACGTTCTCTTGTCCCGCCCACAACTTTTGATCCACTCAAGATAATTTAACCAAACTTTATATACATGACATCCCATTCCTAATCCATAGGGTTCAATATGATGTTGGTCCACCCTTTGCAGTTAGAACAGCTTCAACTCTTCTGGGAAGGCTGTCCACAAGGTTTAGGAGTGTGTTTATGGGGATTTTTGACCATTCTTCCAGAAGCGCATTTGTGAGGTCACATACTGATATGGGACAAGAAGACCTGACTCTCAGTTTCCGCTCTAATTCATCCCAAAGGTGTTCTATCAGGTTAAGGTCAGGACTTTGTGCAGGCCAGTCAAGTTTATCCACACCAGACTCTGCCATCCATGTCTTTATGGACCTTGCTTTGTGCACTGGTGCACAGTCATTCTGGAAGAGGAAGGGTGCCAACTCCAAACTGTTCCCACAAAGTTGGGAGCATGGAATTGTACAAAATGTCTTGGTATGCTGAAGCAGTCAGAGTTCCTTTCACTAGAACTAAGGGGCCAAGCCCAGCTCCTGAAAAACAACCCCACACCTTAATCCCCACTCCACCAAAATTTACACTTGGCACAATGCAGTCAGACAAGTCCGTTCTCCTGGTAACCGCCAAACCCAGACTCGTTCATCCGATTGCCAGATGGAGAAGTGCGATTCGTCACTCCGGAGAACATGCCTCCACTGCTCTAGAGTACAGTGGTGGCATGCTTTACACCACTGCATCCAACGCTTTGCATTGCACTTGGTGATATATAGCTTAGATGCAGCTGCTCAACCATGGAAACCCATTCCATGAAGCTCTCTGTGCACTGTTCTTGAGCTAATCTGAAGGCCACATGAAGTTTGGAGGTCTTTAGTGAGTGACTCTGCAGAAAGTTGGTGACCTCTTCGCACTATGCGCTTCAGCATCCGCTGACCCAGCTCCGTCAGTTTACGTGGCCTACCATTTCGTGGCTGAGTTACTGTCATTCCCAAACACGTAAATTTTCTTATAATACAGCTGACAGTTGACTGTGGAATATTTAGGAGTGAGGAAATTTCACGACTGGATTTGTTGCATAGGTGGCATCCTATCAGTTCC